TTATGACGAACTCTTTGGTTCAGTGGAATAAACAAATAATAAGTGAAAAAGCAGATAGTTATTAGACTATATTTTTCAGTTCCTCCAGCAAAGTACCCAGATGCTCCGCCTCCCGTTCAACCTACATATCCACCACCAGTTCCAGTAGGTGGTGGAGCCCCTCCGCCACCGTATTACAATCGAGGACCTGGATATGGTGGTGGTGGAACCACCTGGAGGAGGAGGCGGATATGGTGGAGGAGGTGCTCCTGGATACGGTGGAGGTGGTCCCGGCTACGGTGGCGGTGGACCTACGACTGTCATTATTGATCGTGGTTAGTTTGACCTTGTTCATGCTATGATTGAAATGGTTCATGCTTGAATTCTACTAATATCCTTTTTATTTCAGGAGGAAGCGCAGGTGGATACAGAGGTGGGGGCGGATACGGAGGTGGTGGCAGTGGTATCGGTGCAGGAATCGCAGGAGGTGCCCTCGGTTTCGGCAGCGGTATGCTGTTGGGATCGCTGATGAGCTATGGCATGGGCTCAATGTGGGGTGGTCACTCGATGATGATGCCAAGCTATGGAGGTGGTCTCGGAATGGGTGGTGGATATTACTCGGTGAGTACTGCACACCATCTTCAGGTGTTTTCAATGATCCTTATAATTACAGTAACCATTTCTTGATTACTTATTATCAGTAGTCCGGGAATGTTATGCAAATATTGACAAGTTAGTATTGATATTCTATAGCGCATGCGATCTTCTATTAGCTATTTTTTAAGAGCTTTATTTCTTTCCATTTCGTGAATTTTAAAAGTATTGGCCTAGTAGATCAATCCATGTATAAATAAGTGTTGTCACTTTCAGGATAATGACACTAACATTACGAACAACTACTACAACTATCCAGACCCAAGTGCGTCAGGAGGAGCAGCCGTCGACGCTGGTCAATCGCATCCCGCCGTAGAAGATGTCACTAATAATCAGGTACGGTAGCAATAGTGTTTTGTGATGACCCAAAAGGTTTGCCACATTTTCTTCTGCTGGAATGGCTCTCTCTGACAACGTCGGGTCCCCCCCCCTGGGTACTTTCCTTTCCCCTCTACATCTGAACTGCTCAAGTGTCCCTCTCTCTGCATCCAAGCAGTTCCTCGCGAGCCTCTAATTTCCAAGCGTGGGGATGTAGGCAAACGAAGGGACAGCGAACGCAGATGAGCTTTGAAAGCATCTACAACAAGACAAGCTTCTCATCAAACTGAGAAACTGCAGTGAGTGATGTGGCTATGCTGAAGTCCACTCACATATTAGGACCCTCACACAAAGCTTTGGCCCTGATTTCTGTCTCATCAGGATGACGCGTTTGGCGCAGACAATCAACCTCAAGACGACGTCGTAGATGATAATGACACCAATCAGGTAAAATCACTGAGTGTTTCGATGACACCTACATACGTGACGTAAAAGGAATTGAGGAGTGCAGAGCGGTTTTGATGGCGTCCCGGACGTCATCTGCAGATGAGCCTCAGCGCGCTGTTGGGGTGTGGTCAGAGACAGGGTCAACTGTCTGTTATACAAGTACCAACGGTCGTTTTGGATGTTTAATTGTTTGGAGTTTCGGGAGAAAAATTTCGAAAAAGTGAACTAGAAATAGGTCCATGTTAAAGGATTTACCGCCCCATTCCCCGTCACCCCCACCCTTCCCCCAAGCTCAGTTGCTTTTTGAGGAAAAAAGTGGGCAGAGTTGAGCGCGTCGACTGGTTCTTGTATTCAAATTCTATAGAAACAGCCGTTGGGCCAAGGGGTGGTGGTCAGGACGGAGGGGGTCGGAGTGGAGGCACTCCTCAATGCTCATGGTAGTGGTGAGAGTCGTATCGTGATCTCCTGAGAAGGGGACTTGCGAAACCAACGCTAGGTTACCCTAGGGAAGGAGCCACCTCCTAATGCTCGTCCACCAGTGACGACCAACGACGCTCCGCCTTCCAGCCATTATGTTCACTGTCTTTAAGTTCCTCTTGGCTAGACTAGCTCTTTCCTTGTGTGATCCTTTTGGTTACATTCCCAGCTTTTAACTGCGTTATTAGGATGGCGTGGTCGACAATGACTATCCGGCCCATGACGACGCCGTAGAGGATGCTGGTGTGGACCAGGTAAACTCACTCTAACATAAGCATTAATAGGACCCTCGAGCCTAACCCCTACAGTCACGATGGTGGGGTTCATTCAGTGCCAAGTATGTCCCGTACATTCACTGTAAGTCACATGATTGCTGACTGTTATTTATGTGATTAGGATGACGTGGCCGACAATGATTATCCGGCTGATGATGGCGTCGTAGAGGAGGCCGACCCTGATCAGGTAATGTTACCAGTATCCTGAGGGTACTGTCGTGGTGTGGAATCGCTTCAGTGCATGCCATAGGCGATTTGTAGTTAAATAGCGATTTTCGGCCCCTCGTTCACTTTGCATCTAACCCCTTCACCAGTAAGTGTCTGACACCTTTTATTTTACCTTTCACGTCAATTCTAATCTTATTCTCATCTCAATCTTGGTAGCGCACCAGGTTTTGCCCTTCTCCAGGTGCTTGCTAAGAAGCAGAAATTTAGTTTGCTTACCAAAACAAGGGCCAAAGGATGGAACCGTTCGGGTTTTTTTGCGCGCAGCGGTTAGAGATACTTGGCTTGCGTGTGCATGAGTTTGCTGGTTCGATTAGAAGTTTCATGTGAACGTGATGTAGATTTTTGTCGAACGTGTCATCTTGATATTTGAGAAGTTTTCTTACTTTTTTGCCAAAGGAGGTCTACGTAGGGATTCGAAACTGAAGAGTTTGATGCTTTCAAGAAATACCCGTCTTCAGAGCTCAAATTTGACTTGGAGATTCACACCATGCCAACGGAAACCCTTGCCATTCTATACCAATTACGTGTATGTAAATGCTAAAGCCATGGTTTGGGAGGAACACTGATTGTTCTATGACTCATCCTAGTGCTAAAGAACTCTCAATCCCTCCATTACGCTGAATTTCTACGTTGATCTTGTTCAATTCGAAGTTTCTAGAACTTTAATTTGCTACGTAGTTGCTGTTTGGAACTGCCCTTCCCCTCGGACCACAATATTGTTTGCTTTCATAGAGTTCACTTGGTCTTTGTGGTTTGGTGTCTATTCAGGCGCATAAATAATTAAATAAGCTGCCATGATGACCAGCATTACTTATTTACGTGTTTACGTGTCATGAATGTAGAGCTAGGCGTGCTTTCTTCCAATTCAGGGACAATCATAGACAGTATATGAATGTGCAGCCGCTGGTCTGAGGGATTTGGTTTGTGGACATGTTTCTTTGCTGTGCTCATCGAGGGTATCACTCTGCTATCTCGTTCCACCCGTCCCTCTTACTATCCTCCTCACAGGATAGTAAAAAACTCACAACGTAGACACTCGCAACAATTTACCCGCCTGCGGATCCGATTCTCTGGAATCAGTGCGGTGGATAATTAGTAATCTTCCAGAAGTTCACGTAGCACTTTAAACTTAATGGCAGGGGTCGCGATTATATAAGTGTGTTCCGGATGCGAAACATGAGGAAGAACTGTTTGAGGAAAAAAAGCAAAAGGAACTATAGGAAGCACTAACGATGACAATCTTTTTTTCTTGCGATTTCCACAGACGGAGATGTCCTGCTACGCGATAGAGAGCACACGTGAGGGAGACAGCGCAGCCACGGCAGTTGCTGCGTATTAGGTAAAACGGTTGCGGTGATAGCGGTGGGGACAAAGCGTTTTCGACGGGTTGTAGTGCACTTCCTAGTTGCGACAGTGCCAGGACTTTTGAACGGGCTACATCAATCACGGAGGCGTTCCGTGGTCGACGTTCCGTGAAGAAGTCATTCGAAGACCTCCTTTGGCTAATAGCGGCAAAGAAACAATTCACATGAATTAGCCAGATTAGTTATGACCGGCTCACAGCCTCAAGTTTCAATTGTAACTTTTCTATTTTGCCTTTCGATAACAATAATGCTTTCAGAACGACACGAACCAGGACTACACCAATGCTGATGACTATGGCTACGGTGGTGACACAGGT